ACCCAAACCGCATAAAGGGATCCAGCATAGAAGATGACACATGGAGCGGAAGCATAGAGCTTTCCTTGGACAAAGGTCAAGGATATAAACTCTTGCAGAGGCAAGAGCAGGATCATATTGTTCCATGGGTCCTTCATTTTGATGGAGCAGACTCATCTTGCATGGTGCCAAAGATGAAGGGAGCTTTTGGGCACATGCACCTTATCTCGGAGAAGCATTTGACGGAGGAACTAAGGTAACTCAACTTACGAAAGCGAAGTTGGGTTCAAACGGCCTTGGTACGGGGCAAGAGGACGTAGAGGCGGGTACTCTTAATGAATATGCCACAGTGTTACCATTCAAGTTACCACAGTGATGGTTAATGATACCTAATATCAGACAGTAATTATATAGTCTCAATTGTGTGTTTGGTCCTTAAACATGAGACACCAAAGATGCCCTAGAAGTTTCAGATCTAGAAGTCCTAGATTTGGTATAGTCAATTCTCGGGAATGACAACTAACCTTACGAAGGTAATTAAGCATCAACAAAGGAGTATCCACTCTTGGTATTATGAGAGGATATCTCATATATGTTCACTTAGATAAAATCTCTGGCCAAGGTTGTTCAAATTGAAAGAGAAGTTCTCCGAGAGAATCTGATTAGAGCGAGACTCAAATAGAATTCTGCATGAGCCTAATATTACCATGCCTAATATACGGTCTCTGGGATATTAGATGGATGAGGGACTATAGATACATGGTAACTAAGGACAGATAAGTCTAATGGATTAGATCTCTTATACCGTTTGGGGACTATGACATAGTCGCCTAGTACGTTCATAGTCGAAGAGTTGAGTAAATTATTATAGAGATAATAATTTATTATATCAGAAGGAGTTCTGAGTTAGAATAAGTTCTGACATGAGCAATTCATGGTCAGCTCGGTGTCAGGCCTAGAGGGTCACACACATATGGTAGATATTGCAACGAGTAGAGGTACGGATATGAGATATATGCGGAGCCCCTAGTTTGGATCCTATAGATAAAATCCAATAGCATTGGGTAATTGGATAGAGATCCAATATCCAATAAGGACAGGATCCATTAAGGGTTAAAGCTGCATGCACCTCTATAAATAGGAGGAACCTCACAGTTCATAGGTTGGAACTTCTGGTGATCGCCCCTCCTATTCTCCTCAACCTCCTCTCCTTCTCCTTGGCTCCGATAGCTGTGTTTGTCAAGTGGCTCACTACTAGAGAGGAGTACGCAAGTTCTTTTTCATCCTCTCCATCAAATCTGAAAATTTCAAGAATATACGATCTTCCTAGGTAACACTTCTCACATGATATATGCGGTTTTCAATTTTACGATTTTTTCGCATACCAATCATCGTGTAATGACTAAGTACTTGACTTTGAAAATTCTAGTTTTGTTTGAGATGCTGATCGACGATTTCCCAACATTATCATTGGATTTTTTTCTTAAGACATTTGTAGTTTTTATACCCAACACATAGGAAGCATATTGTCAAAAATTTCTCATGTGATAGAACTTAGAAGATCTATTCCTATGGTTTGCTGATCCACACCTCCATGTTACAAGGGACAGGACAAATCAATCTCCATATAAACTTTGACAAAAAGCCCTCTCTTAAAAGGTCATCGAGTATTCATCAATCTAGAGAGGCTAGCCAATAAAAGAAACAATTCGAAAAATATAGTCACATTCCTAGTCTTCAAAACGAAAACTTCAATTGAACCCACATAGGGGTTAACAAGAAGTTCTCGAGAAAAATTTGGAAATGAGGCCTCCTTGGAATCAAGTACGTTGTTTCACTACAGAGAGACCACGATCCTTCCGTGAGGACCTTCAAGACATCACAGCATTGGAAACAAAATAAAGAAAGAAAAAATCTACATGCCATATCCATCGCCTGAGGAAGCAATGAAACTTTCTAAATCTAAGGAATCAAAAACCAGATGATGTCCAATAGCGGGGGTCATCTTACAAAATATCTGATGACAAGGTTTCCTTAACTTCAAAAGTCTATCGGTTGAGAAAATTGCTAAATCCTTGGAAA